CCCTTGCTCCCCCATCCCTCTGCATCCCCCTCCTCCACCACCACCCCAAAACTCTCTCTCGAGATAACAGAAATGTTTGGCTCAGCCCGCAGATTAATTAAGATGTTACCCAAAATATGAAAGTCATTTGTATTCAAAGTCTGCAGTTCCAGATACCATCGTTTTTAGCCATCTATCTTTTTTTATTTATTATTTTTTTCTTCTTTCTTTTTTCTTTTACTCCAGGCCAAGTTCAGAGCCTTTCAAGGGGAAGGGGGAGGAGGGGGCAGAGGGTATGAGGGCGAGGACGAGGAAGGAACCATGCAAGACTTTGAAACGATGGAATGAAAAAAGGATTTTGCTGCTGGGTGATGGATTGCTGGACCGTCTGTTCCTTTTATTTGTTTGAAATAATACGTCGAAGGCTCTTTTACTATTTCATTTTGCCTTGTGGTTTGGCTGGCTGATGGCAGGGGTTATTTCGCATCGTGGGTAGAAGGGTGGAGGAAGAGTGGTTGATCAGACGGCGCTGGGGGCAGCTGGGTGGTAGAACCTGGGTTTTTAGTTGCTGTGTTAGTTGGCCATTCGGTTGTTGTCTAGTATTTTTAGTGATATGATTGGCCATCTGGTGAGAATGTTTGTTATGGACTGCAAGAGTTTCTAGCTTTCATGGTTAGTGCTGCCGTGCGTGGTTGTGGCATCTAGGCAGGGAGGCTGAGGGGCGCGGGATCTCTGTCCGTACGCTGGTTGGCTGTGTCTATTCTACTTGGTAGACAGTTATTTGAATATTTTATTATGATTTTAGTTCATATAGACCTATGTCTAGGGATTCAGTAGGTATGATATTTATAAAAAAGAAAACAGTCCTGCAAGGCTATTTTCATAACTCGGTAGTAAACAGAACTCTGAAACAAGTGTAGCTTTCTCCTTTCCACAAAATCGTGTGATGGCCTCGCCTTTGCCAGCGTGATCCCATTAGTAGCGAGAGGGAACTCATCCATGCGCGAGCTTCGAATACACACCAAGCACCGGTTGGCGAAGACCTTAATTCAGCACCATGCAGCAAATGACACAGCAAGTGATCGCCCTGGAAATGCGAGTGGCGCAGCGTCTGCAGTTAAAGGGTACGCGCATCTTGAGCTACTGCCAAGAGCCGCGTCTTGGACAGGTTCAGAAAACTGTGACTCTATCTAGTGACGAAGAGGAGTAATGCGTGAGAGGACTGTATTTTTAGAAAGTCTGGCGAGTTTATTGTTGAAAACGTGTAGTAAAGAATATATAAATATAGGCCTATCATTGTAGAAGATGAAACTGCAGTTCACTTCAGGTCAGGCGCTTGCCTCAGGTGCTTCTTGCATAACTCGTCGTTGTGTAGTAATTGTAGAACAATAGTTGGTATCCTGTGCGTGTTTCGGCGGGGACCTCTCTGGAAGGAGGAGGCGTCATAAGCAATAGAGGGCAGAGGGAGGTAAGTTGTTTGGAAACGACACTGATGGTCGCTCTCGGGAAAGAAATCGATTTTTTCTTTGGTTCAGTGGTAGTAAATATTTAGTCGTTGTTGGTGCAGGCCGTCTGTCTTGATGATGACCGAGGTGGCACGGGAGACGCAGGAATGGCAGGGCTGGTTAAGCATTCTAGCTGCGTTTGCCGAGGCCGTTTCGTATGCAACTGGAGGTGTACCGTTGGTGGTGAGAGGTGATAATGAGGTAACGATGGGCTGTACTCGCCAGAGAAACAAACTGGAGTTGTAGAAAAAAAAAGTGTGTAGATGTAAGCCATAAGATGATGATGACACGAGACACGAAGCAAAAATAAGCCAAACAGCGAAAGGAAAATAAAAGTAATTATGAGAAGAGAGTGGGTAATAAGGAAAAGGAAATACGCTGAGGGGGCACGCAACAGGGAGGACAGCGGACAAGGGAGCCCGGATGAGTAGCATGAGTAGGCAAGGTGTGATCCTTGTAACAGTGTCCTGAAACACGTCTTTAAGCGGGACGGAGGCTGGAGTCCCAAACGTGACGGGGAAACAGCGCAGCGTCCGCTTTGTGTGTTTGGCGGGAAACGGTCTACGATTATTTTAAGCGCTGTAGCTGCTATCATCTCTGTCGATACAGGGTTGCGTTTATCCCCTTTCTTCTTATTTTCATTTATTTTGCTTGATCTTTATATTCCTCCATTCTCAGGTTAGTTCCTGTTGATATTTGTAATAAGCTTATCTGTTATGTTTATTTTTTCACGTTTATTTTATTTTCACACACACACACACACACACACACACACACACACACACACACACACACACACACACACACACACACACACACACACACACACACACACACACACACACACGCACACACACACACACACACACACACACACACACACACACACACACACACACACACACACACACACACACACACACACAGATACACACGCACACACACACACACAGATACACACACACACACACACACACACTCACACTCACACTCACACTCACACTCACACTCACACT